CTCTCTTTGAGGTAGCTTGCTACTTATATTTGGCAAGTGTAAGTTCTACATCAACAAAATCAAACCTTTATGATATAGAAGTAGAGCCTTTTTCTCTTGACCTCAGGGCTGTCGTGGTTCCTTTATATGATAAAATTCATGTATTACTGACAAAGGAGCCTTCAGTCAAGTTGGGTCAACTACCTTCTCGATCAGGCATACTTGGGGTCTGAATAGCTTGGGATGAAGGATCCATGGTGTCCCGTTCTGGCTATCTATACATGACTATGATCACTCTCTCCTTCTCTTTACTTACCCTTATTAAGACCTGTCACTCCTTTGACATTTTTGTGGATGTCATTTAGCAGGCCCTACTTAGTTATCAAGTCACTGCCCATTTTAGATACAGTGATTTGCCCTCTACCATTATGACTCAGTCTAGCATTGAAGTGGAAGGATGATTCCTACCAAATGACCTAGTTGTTTCACTGGTCTTGATTGCCTATGAGCCGCTGCCCATTAAGACTGTGAGATACTTACACTCTCCCCTGTGGATTTGCAAGAGCTCAAAAAGTGTTGGGATGTTTTCTATGAAACAACCATCCTTTGTGACACCCTTGCTAGTCGTCACTCAATTGTAAGTAGAACTCCTCTGATTGAGTTTATTCTTTGGCAACCTCCAAGATGTAAATAACTAAATGGAATATGTCTCTTTGGGAACACTCTTGACCCAAAAAAAATTTAAATTTGGTTATTGGGTTTGGGTAACTTATACAAGTCCTCTTTTAAGGATATTCGATTCAAAGTATTTCTATCCTATCTTGTTTGGACTTACACCCTTGACCTATCAAACAAGGTTTATCACTTATAGGCTCTCCACATTCAAAGTGTTATCATGTTTTAAAAAAATGATGGTATAAATGAGAGTATTATGTTTTTTTCACATAAATGAACCATATCTTTAGCTCCTCAGATATGAGAAATAATAGATTATGGTTTTATGCAAATTCTTTATTTTGAAATCACTATACAAAAAGTGTAACAATATTTTAAAAAAGTTGTGATATTGATGTGATATTGTTATAGTACAGATGGAAATATTGTATTTTTTTTACACAAATGAACCATATCATCGCCTTTTATGATATGAGAAATAATATATTATAATATTATGCATATTATTTATTTGAAAATTATTATTAAAAAGTTTTATAATGTTTTAGAAAAATAGTGATATTACGGTGGTACATATGAAAATATTGTGTGTTCTCAAAGAAATGAATCATATCTTTTGTTCCATCTAATGAAAGGAACAATAGATTATGATGTTATGTACATTTTCCATTTGAAAGATTATGTTCACAAAAGTGTTACAATGTTTTAGAAACATGGTGGTATAACTGCAAATATTAATTTTTCCACCAAATGAACTATATCTTTTGCTCCTTTGATGAGAGCGACAACAGATTATGATGTTATGTACTTTTTTGTTAAAAAATCTATGTTCCAAAAGTCTTATAAAGTTTTATAAAAATGATGATATAGTGGTGGCACATAAAGGAATATTATTTTTTTCACAAATGAATCATATATTATCCTCCTCCGATATGAGAAAGAGTAGATTATAATATTTATGCACTTTCTTCGTTTGAAAATTACTATTAAAAAAGTGTTATCATGTTCTAGAAAAATAATGATATTGTTGCAGTACATATGAGAATTTGTGTTTTTTCACATAAATGAATCACATCTGTTGCTCTTCTGTCATGAGTAATATTAAAATATAATGTCATACATTTTTTTTGTTTGAAAACTACTTTTAGAAAAAAATTGATATCGTGGTGATATAGATAAAAATATTATATTTTTTTCTCAAAAATAAATAATATCTTCTGCTCACCAGATATGTGAGTAAATTATGATGTTATGTACATTTTTTTTAAAATTTTGTTCTAGAAAAATATTTACAGAATTTTAGATAAATTGTCATATAATGGTGTTAAATATGAAAATATCATGTTTTTTTCACAAATTAATTATATATTCTGCTCCTATGATATGAGGCATCAATGAAAATATCACTCCCCAAGTAGAGGCATCAATGAAAGAGCCAATTTTAGTGCCTTCAATGTTTTAGAATGATTTCCACCGTTGTTATGTTGTACATAACGAAGAAAATAATATTCCCTTATGTTTGCTATATTCTTGTCTCCCCACTACGCGTTGATCACAAAGGTGCTTTAAGGCCATTTCAAAAGCTAGATCAGCGTGACTTCGAACCTACCGCCACCATACGTTCCACCTTTTGGAAAAAAATGTCGAAAATTAGTGTTTTCTTCTTCTTTCTATGTTTTCTATTTCAAATTCTCATGAAGATGCTTCTATGGGCGATCTTCCCTCTTTCAATGATATCTTCACCAAGAGAGGAAGCTTTTCGAGATCATTTATGAAAGCAATCTCCTTACGAAAGGAAAAAAAGCTTATTGAAGTCATTTATCTGAGCAGCATCTCTGCGAAAAGAAAAACTAAAAAACTTTTCGGTTGAATTAAAGTAATTCATACGAGGGTTCTGCATGGGGAGTTTCCAATAGAAAGTAATAAATGTTGTAGAAGATTTTGGTATTTTAGAATATTTAATTTTTATTGATAATTAGAAAGTTTTTTTACTTATAAGTTGATATTAATCTCATCAAGAGTCCAGATCTCTTTGAGGGGGTGTTAAGTAGCACACTTTTAGGCAGTGTTTGATGGCAACTTTAATTTAGGTTAAATAGGATTTATCAAATCTAGTAAATCCGATACTCTATACCACAAAGATGAGCTCCTGAATAATAGTGGAATTTTTTTTTAAAATTGCCTCTCAATTGGATTAATTAAAACCCGATTTACATAGTAAAATAGATTGAATGGAGGAAGAAAAAATGGAGTGCAACAAAATCAAATTTTAGAGAGCGTTGGATTCAATTTTTTTTTTACGTTTGGCTAGATTTACGCTAAATCCATGAGTAAGGGTCCGTTTCGGGTAATTTTTTTTTTTTTGCGATTGTATTTTAAAAATGCTGCATTCCTATTTATTTCGTGCGTTCGAACTGCTTATCCGAAAAATTTGTCGCAAATTTTAATTAAACGGGGGTGCAAGCTCGACTCCGCGACCTGCGTTCTTTCGTTGTCGATTATGCGACTGCCCTTCATTTTGAATCCCTTAATTGCTCCTCTTATCCTTGCTCGATTGCTTCTCTCTAAGCATTCAATATGCTGTGGGAGTGAGGAGAAGGTTTTTATGTGCCCTGGAGATCGAACTGGCTCGAAGAAGACGAATGATAAGTCAGATTCAGAGCTACACACTGCTGTAAGGGATGACAATCTTTGCGCAGTTGAATCAATTTGCAGATTCAATCCCCTTGCAGTCAATTTTAAGGACAAGCATTCTCGAACTTCGTATCTTTCTCAATCCTCCATTTTTTATTTTTTTTCGATGTTCTAATGATTACTTTGTAGAAACATGCATATTCTGCATGACTTTATTTTGCGGTTTTGTTTTATTCATTTGATTTATTCTTCTTTCTTTTTTTTTTCAGGGATGCTTATGATTTGTTTCACTTAGGTGTCGTTTGATTGATTAAAATTACAAATCACATTTTGACTAATGATTGATTTTTAATTTTTCTTTATTTGGTTGGATGTAGATAGAAACCAATACCATTTTTTCAACTCTTTAAGCACCTTCAAAATGCCCCTTATGATTGAAATTTCATATACAAGATGAACGAAAATTCTATCACTGCTTTCCACATATGCTTTGAATTTGAATTACAATGTGTGCAATTATAGATTGCTAGGGGGCCTTCATAAGGATCAATGAAAAAAAAATATTTTTAAAATCATAGGATTGATTTCATATAAAATTAAGAATGATTATGCAACTGCAGTTTTATATTGTATCATGGAAAAATGGGAAATTTTTGTTCTTCAAGATAATTCTATTAAGAATCCAATAGTACACTCAATGAAGAATGCATGATATGAAATAGATGAACCACTGCCAATGTTCTTGAGTTCATGTGATGCTATTATGAAAGATTTGTCTTTTTTCACGAAATTTTCATGATTGCATTTAGCTAGCATCTTAGTGTTTTTTTTTTCTCAAGTTTCTAACATATTGCTATGATAGTTCTGTTGTAAACAACATTTCTGCACAAAGTCAGAATGATCATTTATCCAGAAACAACTACAAAAAAACTGTTTTCCAATAGCACAAACCAAACAACAAGCCAGCTTATCCGGATAAATTACTAATCAACATATTATCTAGGTCAGCTGCTTATCGGCAAATTATTGATAAGATGCCCTAAATCTTATTAAAATTAAGCTACCAAACAACGCCTTAATAAGATTTAGCCATGAATTTCACGTAAATCCAACCAAACACCAAAAAGAGGGAAAACCAAATCAAACTCTTCATTAAATTCAACTTTCTCCTCTTTCATTTTTTCTCTCATTCCGTCTCCTCTACTACGTAAATCCAGATTTATCAAATTCGACTATCAGGCGGATTATGCAAATTTACGTCACTGTTTCTCACATGCTTCCTCTCCATCGCGAACACTAGATTTTTTCAAATTTGATAAATCCTATTAAAGTAAATTTGCGACAGATGCCAAACACTGTTTGAGAGTCACAAGGAGTGTTGCGGTGAGAGCATTGTCAACAGCACGAACCACTTCAAGAGCGCAACAAATCACTTTGATTTTAGTAACTATGACTTTATACTGCTGTTTATTTTGAAGTTATTTTTAAGGGTTGTTTGGTAGCCGATTTTAAGCAGGCAGCAGGATTTACCATATTTAGAGAAGTTGGGTTTAGAAAATTCTATTAAATCCTATTAAAATCATCAAACAATTTTTTAAAATTTATTAAAATTTATTTATTAAGATACCAAATAATTTTGAAGACCACACTTTTCAGACTTTCATAAATACAGATCTACTATTTTAAGCCCTTTGAAACAAAAGCCTTCGGCAACTGCGACTGATCATCCCAGTGAGTTGAGTTGGCGATTCGCGTGCTCCGTTTAAACCAGACTTCATGGTGCCGGCGGCGCTCGGAGGGAAGTCTTCGGAGCCCCTGGTGGCAGCCCGAAATTGCGAAACCCTCGAGTGCAGAAGCTTCTGGAGGGCTGGAAATTACGAGGTTAAGTCCTCTCTTCTTCCTTCGCTACAAGGTAACATTGCTCTTCCTTTTTCGGCGCAAAACTGCTCCTCCTCCTTACATTGGGATTCTATCTCTTTGCATGCACGCTAGAATCATGCGAGTTCGATCGCGCACGGGTTCACCCGAAGTTTCTACACTCCAACGCCACTTCCCACAAATGGGCTTTCGGAGGTCAGTCATCTTTTTTCCCAGGTTTCCGTGGTTACGTTGATTCCAATTGTGAAATGAACTTTATTGATTTGTGGTACGGGTAGAAAGGTTAGGGTTTCATTTCAGAAGGCATTTGCGATCGAATAAAGGAAGGCCGTCAGATGACGTTATGCTTATTGTTTTTTTGAGGATCAAGCGGATTGCTTTTTGTCTGTGGCGAATGAAAGCAGTCTTTCTGTTACAAATAAAGCGCTGCAAGGCCAGACAAAACATTCAATGCTTGAATTTGGCCCCGAGATTGCCTTGCCTGTTATCAAGACTCAACTGTCCTGTTATTTATTTGCACTGTATGTGTAGTACTTGATCCTAGTCTAGCATTTGATCTCCTGCTCTATTGAACTCCGGTGTACAATTGGACTACATGGTTGAGGTTGTGAGTCGGGTGGTGGTAGGTGGCGCTGCTGAACAATTTATGTCCAAAGAAACATATAAAAATTTGTTCTCCGCTTACAATGCTCACTATTTAACCCAAGTCTGCCAGACAAAGTAATAAGATGCTATTGAAGAGCTATTACTACTAAGATAGTACTTCACTTATAAAGTAAATTTATAAACAACAAAAATTACATCAGTTGAGCAAAGAACTAAATCGGAAAATCTAGTCAGAGAGGACCGATCAAATTTGATGAGTTGCCTCAGTTCTCTCCTGCTTCATAAGAACTTGACTTGAGTTGGTGAATTGCATAGTGTTATCGTTGTGTGAATGATAGGCATGTATATCAACAACATTGCAGGTTGGGGATATTTTCAATTCCGGCAGGAGGGTAGGGGCATTGACATCATCATTGATCATGGTTGTGATTGAAAATGAACCTAGTTTTTGATGCTTTAATTCATACTATGTACCATTAGGAAACCAATACATGTGAACTTGAATCATAACCAAATCACTAATATTGAAAACCATGTACCGTTGGTGAAAATAGCTTTCTGTTTATATATTTGAGTGCTGCTGATAAATTTTTTTTTGACCTCTTTGAGCATGGTATCAAAGTTGGTAGCCGTGTTTACAACTATTAAATACTATCATTTTGGTATCATTGGGAAGTTTAGCAACAATGTTTTAAGGTGATCTGCCAGTGGAATAATTAATCATGGGTTTATAAGCAAACTCAGGTTGTCTTTAAAGTTCATCCCACAATTTTGGATGTTCACCAACTAGATAGTCAATCTTGTTATTTATTATATGTTTCATCACTTTGATTTGGCCATCTGTTTGTAGATGATGGATGTAGCTTGAATGAAGCTAAATTTGTTGTTGCTTCCATAACCCGTGCCAACAACAAGTAAGGAATTGGGTATCATTGACGTGGGGCGTGCTTTTTGGCCTAGGCGGAAACATGGCACAACTTTTGCCCTTGATTCAATTAGGAGGATCGAACCGATCTCGATTCTAATTTCCTACCCATAGTGTGGACGAACTCCCCCTTAGGGGTCTTTAGTGACCTCATTTGAATTATAATTAGGGTTATGTTTTAGTGATGGCATGATGACTTTTGGTTTATTTTATGTATTGGAAGCTGTCTCCTTTGATTTTATCTTTTCTAGGAGTGCCGTATTCTATTTTATTTCAGGCGGTGTGATTGTAACTTGATCGAGAACGGATAGTGGGTTTTTCTTGATGTCTTCACATCGTACCTAGCTGCCAATATTGTTTCCCTACTATTTTTTCTTCTTCAATAGCTGTTGTCGTCATATTTTCTTTCTCAAATATCTTTTTTAATTATTACATTTTGATCATTTGTTATTGCCTTACATAATTTTACTACTTTGCTTTGCTTCTTTTACATATATATGCACGCTATATCGATGTCATTTGATATCGAAGCTATTTAAACCCTATTTTTTTTTATAAATACAAACATTAACCCACATGACAAAATCTCTGTACATATACAAATACCCAACCTCCACGAAAAAAAAATTATGTACTCTCGCCTTCAACCAATCTCGAAACCCCTAATTTTACCTTAGTTGAAACCCTAAGTGGAAATGATCCACTATACTGCTAAAGAGAACCTTCCAAATAGGTGTTTAGGAGCTTATCATGTAGGATATGTAATAAGAAATCTTTCAATTACAATGTAGGCTCGCTTATTTAAAAAAAAGATAACATGAGGAAATTATGCATAGCAATAATGGTGACCAATCTGAGGGTTAAGATGAAGAAAACTTCTTCCACCATGAGATCTCAAGTGACGAAGAGCTAATGCGTCATAATTTGGCATCGAGTATAGAAGAAGAGGGATTAACTTTAGCGTGAAAGTTAATTTACTAGGTTTTGGTGGTTTTATGGATTCTGACGAGCTTAATGAGTGACTCCTAACCATTAGATGAATCTTTGAGTATAAATCATTCCAACTAACATAAGGGTTAAATTTGGTTCTATTAAACTCGACCATGAGTTTGAATAACAAGAGTACGTTGACTAGTGCTAATACATGCCTCGTATGAGGAGAAGCCAACATAGGAAGGTGCAAAGTCTGATTCGGTCAGTACCCCCAATCATTTCCAGCTAGTAAGTGTTTCAAGTGTCAAAAATATGAAGACATTATAACTAATTTCCCAAATTGAAGAGTGATTTCACTCACTGAGCAGGGCACGGTGGAAGAAACAGATTGTGGAGACTATGGAGATAAGAATAATATGAATATCAATTTTTCGCAGATGATGGTGAGATGCTTGCAGTTCGATGAATTCTTTAGATTGAGCCTAAGAGAGCGCATCAGTGGTTTTGACATATCACATTTCATACTCATAACACCATAAATGGGATGACATTTAGCATAGATGGAGTTTGTGAGAATATCTAAATGATGGACGAATTGAGTCTCTTACTAATAAACACTCCTAACCCTATTGTCTGACTTGGTTGAAGAAAAAAAGAAGTTCAATGTTGACAAGAGGTACCTAGTAGTGTTTTTTATTGGAGATAAACTATATGAGTGATTGTGGTTTGATATTGTGCCTATAGATGCACATAATGTTCTATTGGGCCAATCTTGGTGGTGGGACAGGAGAACGCTTCATGATGAGAAGAATACTTGTTCATTTATCAATGGTTGGATACATAATGCGCTTTTGCTCTTGAAGGAATCACTAGGATGAAATCCTTCTATTGCCCACTTAACCATGTAAAGCTATCATGGAAGTTACTACAAGTGTTAATACAAATGATTTCTCTTGAAGAAAGAATTTTTATTGGAAGGTATTTAAATGAACATGTTGGTAGAGTGGTATAATATTTTAGAAATATTCATGGTGGCTATGATTTTAGAGTGATTAATTAAAAATGTAGAACCATATTATATTTTAGATTTATTATTGCCAATACATTATTTAAGAAAAGAGATGAGCATATTATTACTTATAAGCAAGGATCTAATAAAACCCATTAATTATTCTTTTGTGAGAAAAAAAGATTGTTGAGAATGTAAAGATTGTAAGTTCATTCCAAGTGAAAATCTAAGTTTGAACATCGAAAGTAGTTCTAGATTTTAAGATGAAGAGTTATAAGATAAATAATAAAATGAAATATTATCATAGAATTAGACGCGGACATCTAACAGACAATTTTTTGCATAAACTTAAAGATTTTAAGATTTGAATGTTTATGAAGAAACCAATTTCTATATCGGATAAAGTAACAAACATTATTAAACAAATGACAAAAGATGTACTTAGAGAATTAAAAGAAAAAAAAATTATAATTAAAAATAGTTGGTGGTGGATTAATAATGGGCAATGAAAGATAAAATATAAGAAGTTTTGCTATAAAAATTGGTTTAAATGTAAAAGCTCAGAGAACTGGAAAAAGTATAACGTGGCCTATAAGGAGTCTAAGAGAATAATTCATGGCGCTGAGAATTCTGTTTTAAGTGATCTTTATAATAGATTAAATACTAAAGAGGGTGAAAAATATATGTATAAAGTAGCCAATTAATGAAAAAAAGTAAAGATTCAATTTAAGTAAAGTGTATTGAAGATAAAAATTAAAGTGTTTTTCTTAAAGGACGATATTCAACATAAGTGGTTTATTAATGAAGTTTATAAAAATACGATCGAACTTAGTGATCTTAATATCAATAACAATATTATAACCTTTTATTTTTACCATCACATCAGTTAAAAAAAATATAAGGAGGATTTAAAGAAAACCAAGAGTGAAAAATAAGTAGGATATGATAATATCCCAATTGAAGTGTGAAATTATCTAGGAGATTTGAGAGTTTCTTGGTTTACCAAATTCCTTAATATTTTTTTTAAAAACTAAAAAGATGTCTGAGAAGTGAAGGAAGAGTATTTTGGTCTACATTTTTAAGAATAATGTGAATGCATATGAGTGTGCAAAATATATGAGAATTAAGCTAATGTGTCATACTTACAAATTACGGGAGAGGGTAATTGAACATAAATTAAGATGAGATACAAAAATTTTTCATGATCAGTTTGGATTTATGCTGGGTAAGTCTACTGTGGAAGCTATACATTTATTGAGAGGTTTGATGGAGAAGTACAAAGAGAATTAGGAGGTTATGCATATGATTTTTATTGATTTAGAAAAAGTTTACGGTAAGGTTCCACGCGAAGTTCTTTGGAGAGTTCTAGAAAAGAAAATTGTTGACATGACTTATATTCAAGTCATTAAAGATATGTATTTTAGAGCTATTAATTTTGCTTGAACAAAGGTGGATTGACCAATTATTTTCCTATTTCAGTTGGATTACATCAAGGATTTCAGTTGGATTACATCAATTGGATTACATCAAGGATCGACTTTAAGACCATATCTTTTTGCTTTAGTTATGGATGCTCTTACTAAACTTTTGCAGGATGATTTACCTTGGTGTATATTTTTTGCTGATGATATCCTTCTTGTAGATAAAACTAGAGAAAGAGTTTAGGAAAAAAATGATTATGGAGATCTACATTAAAGACTAAAGGTTTTCGTTTGAGTAGATCTAAAACTGAATACATGCAATGTAATTTTAGTAATAGTATCTCTAGCGACATAACTGTAACTATGAGTGGCAAATCATTAAAAGGTGTGAACATTTTATATATTTTGGGGCTATTGTTCAAAGTGATGGTGATATTGATGGGGATGTTATTGGTAGAATTCAGGTTGGGTGGTTGAGGTGGACGAATGTATCTTGCCTATTGTGCGATAAAATAGTACCACTTAAACTTAAAGGAAAATTTTTTAAGACTGTGATGAAACATGCAATGCTTTATGGCATAGAATGGTGGCCTGTAAAAGAGAAGCATAAAACAAACTTAAGTGTGGCTGAGATGAGAATGCTTAGGTGAATGAGTGGCTTGACACTTAAAGGCAAAATGCAAGACAAATCTATGCATGAAAGGGTTGGCGTAGCTCCAGTGACAGACAATATTAGAGTGAGTCGTCTTAGCTAGTTTGGTCACATTAAACGTCGACCATCTGATGATCCGGCTAGGAGAGTAAATGTTTAAAATTCCACTTATGTTAAGAAAGACAAAAATATACCTAAAAAGACTTGGGCGTATTGTATAAAAATGATCTTAATCTATTTGAATTAAATGAAAATATGACACTCAATATGACACGATGTAGAAAAGAATTCATGTTGCTGACCCCACTTAGTGGGATAAAGGCTTATTGTTGTTGTTGTATTGTTCAAGGCACCACGAAACTGCGTGATATGCTTAAATTAAGCAAAATTTGATGTGATTTGCTAAGTAGCACAAATTGAAGGTGAATCAAAGTTGGAACTAAGACACTAGTTGTTATACTTGTTTTCAACATAGGTACTTGAGTTCGTGTGTGAAGGTCAACCACTTGATTCTTCCACTAGCACTTGACTAGGGCTTACATAGTCATTTATTAGGTTATGGTAAGTCATTAATTAATAGTTATGATTAAAATATGCTAACCACTTATATATTTGCTAGTTTAGTGGTGTAAATAATATATGCTTGAGCAAGCTTAGAGTTTTTTCGTGTTTGACTCATTCAAAATTTGTTTGTTTGAGTGAATTCTATTTGAAATTATTTGTGAATAACATTTTCGTGTTTGAACTGTTTAAATTTGTGTGTTGCTCATATCAAACTCAAATTATTTAAAATTACTAAATTTTAATATTTTTAAAATAAAACATAAAAAAATGAAACAATTATATTAAAATAAAAAGTTATCATGAAATTATTATTTATACAATAACATAAATATATAAATTTATTAATAAATATTAATTATATAATTAATCAATTTTTTGTGCCAAAATGAGTCGAATGCAATTGTAGTGTTCAGCTTGTTTATAAATCGGGCTCAAAATTTTTGCTCATGTTTAGCTTGCTTAATGATTGATTCTGTGTTGATTGGCCAAAACTATATTATTCCAAAATTTATAAAACCTAATTTTAATATCTTAACCATCATATACATTATGATTCATTATGATTAATATAATTAATTTGTTAACTTAGAGCTGTTAAAAAAACTCGTACGCAAATATGTTTGTTTCAGAAGATTTGAATAAGTTTTGATTATTTAGGAAAAAAAAAGCTATTGGGATCATCTTTAAATTTGGCTTTTGGAATGAAGTGACTTACAATTTGAAGGTGAAAAACCCAATTGTGAAGATGTTAAGATTAGTAGATTGTGTCTAACGACTTGCAATGTGTTATATTTATGATGCAATTTGTGGTGCATTTAAAGAAGATGGAAGGAAATTTGAACAAATTTTTTTGTATTATTAAAAATAGATGGAAGTGTCAACTCTGACAACTATTGCATCAAGCTGGATATTATCTTAATCCAGATTTTTTTTATAAGAATAAGTCTAATTCAGTCAATGCACCTTGATAGAAATCATATATATTGTTATTTGCAAGATAGTGGAAGATTCAAATAAAAAAAATGATAATATATTAAACATTTTATATTTATAATCATTCTAGGTGTATTTTTACAATGGAGCAAGGCATCCGTGACAGAGATAAGAAAGCTCCAGGTATGATTAATTAAAATTAAAATTTTATTTTTCAATCTTTAATTAATAAATTTTTGTGTAATAGCACAATATAATCATAACAATAAAGTGGTGGGAGATGAATGGTGCATTGATTTCAACTTTACAAAAATTGACTGTCAAAATATTATGATTGACTTGCAGTGCTATAGGCTGTGAAAGCGACTGAAGTGTCTTTGAGTTGGTTAATACTTTATAAATTTAAAAATAATAAATAAGAGAAATTAGTTAGAACAAAAATGCTTCAATGATTTATTAAATACGATCAAACTTTAAGAAGAAGATTTAATTTAAGAGATATTGATTTAGTTTGGACTCAATTGACAAAAGTATGAGTGGTTGAATGGAGAATGCTGGTGAGCAACAATTTGATGATGAAGTTCTACTTGGAGACAAACTGAAGAGGCTTTAGGAGAAATTAATTGAAGATCACCTATATGATGTAGTTGGAAAAAAAAGGGACCATCTGCAATGATGATTAGTTAACCGCAACTTGTATTTGATCCTTCTGTGCTACAAGATAAAATAAATTTTTTTCAGAAGAAGAAGATGATGAAGAGTGGGAAAAATTTGAAGAAGAAATTTTACTTGAAAAAGAAAGAAATTATATGAATGAAATAGATGATGAAGACTATTGATTTACTTTAGGATATTTTTTGAAATCTAAGCCTTTATTATTTTGTTTATGCTTTAAAATTTAGTTTTTGTTGAGTTATAAGATTTTTTGGGCAAAGTTTTAGTTTTTAATTGTTGCAGGAAAATATTAGAAATGGTTTGAAATTTTAATTTATAGTTTCATCTCATGTTAGTCTTTAAACAACTTTCTTTTCTCTTTCATATGAACTTTTTAAATCATATTTGATGTTTTATAATTGCTAACAACTGCATTTATACATCAACAAATTTATACAACTTACTATCGCTTTGGTTATTAAAAGGCTCACTTCACTCAACGTTTTTGCGCTTTGAAGTAAAAATAAAGTCTTGCGCATCACGTTATGTTTTGCGCTTTGACAACACTATGTTGGACAACAGGTTCGACATGTCGGCGGCTGTCCTGGCTGAATCAACAAGTTAGACAGCGAAAGGGCAAGAAATGGATAGTGAGGAGGTTTCACCATCTATTCTTGAACAAGATATAAACACACCACCTGTAAAAGGAAATGATATAGTACTCCGAAGGTCATAAAATGAATAATAATATCTCTAAAGTAGTTAAATCAAAACCTAGCTACCTCAAACAACAAAATACAATATATAAATAGCTTTTATTAGCAAATAACCCTAATTAGAAATAAGGAATTTAGAATAAACTTATAAAGGAAAAAAACTAGGTGAAATTGCAATCGGAAGATATCCTAGGCGGAAATCATTGTCACATTGTCGTGGGATGTTCCACGATTAGTACAAAATTTGAGAATCATATAATTTTGTGGAAAAGGAATCACAGATCCTAAAAGTTCCGATTGTAGTGGATTACGTACGAGCTGGATCACACGTTACACCATCCTAATGCTCCCACATCACTGTCTTTTTTCCATTGCAAGTTTAACAAAACTAACTGATTTGGTTGTGGAGGTCTTTTTTTGCTAAGAAACAAGAAGGGTGCACTATTGAGACAGTTACATCATGTGAAAATTGGGATAATCTATAATTTGTTGAAGCATGTGCTTGTTTATGGCACTCTTCTTTAAATCCTTCCAATTTCCTACTTACTTTTTATTTATTTTTAGTGCTTTTGTCTTTCTTTGGCTGGCACTACAGAAATTTTCTTCTTTTAAGTAACAGATCAATCGATATCTTCCCAAGGCTTTGTTCTTTTTTTTTGGTATTTTGCTTTCATCTCTCCTTTCAGCACTCAAGAGACTTAGTATGCTTTTCAGTTTTTTTTATTACCTTTTTTTAATCTGCGGAAAATTTTTGATATTTTCACTTTTTTCCATGCAGCCATTGCCGAACTTCTTGACAATGCAGTTGATGAGGTAAAGATTTTCTTGTGCAGCTAGTAATTGTAATATTCAGGAATTTTTAATTTGGTTGGCAAGAAACAAAGTATTGGTTTAAGCTATAGGTTGCTACTTAGTTGAGCTGGTCAGTGTATTTTTAGAACATTGGTATCGATAAGGTGTGAATGATATTATCCATGCCTTCAAATTTTGTTTAATGAAGAAGCTGAATGCTTTTGATATTTTTTTGTTGCTTTTATGTCTTTATGATCCTGCTCCATAGATATGCAATGGTGCAACATTTGTCAAGGTAGATAAGATGATCAATCCAAGAGATAGCAGTCCTATGTTACTTGTTCAAGGTACTTGCCACCAATATATTACCATACACATCAGGAAATCATTTGTGTTTTCAAAATTTTGAAAATGATATCCATCCTCATGGAAAATTTGCAGATGATGGAGGAGGAATGGACCCAGAAGGTATACGCCATTGTATGAGCTTGGGATTCTCAAAGAAGAACTCAAAGACCACTATAGGACAGTGTAAGATCTTAATTTCTACCTGTATGCAGCTTATGCATTTTCATTCTAATTAGGATTTTGTCGTTGAATCCTTTAAAATGTTTTCTAGTATTGTCCATGAATCAATATTACATGCCAGTCAGCTACTACCTTTTATTTGCCAGAAAACCTTCCATAAGAATCAGTGACGCTGTATGCTTTACTGGTAGTTTTGACAAATATATAAGATGAATTTGTATAGGCTTTTTGGTTGTTAGGTTTTTTCCATTGCAATCTATTAACTAGTTGAATCCTTTAAAATGTTTTCTAGTATTGTCCATGAATCAATATTACATGCCAGTCAGCTACTACCTTTTATTTGCCAGAAAACCTTCCATAAGAATCAGTGACGCTGTATGCTTTACTGGTAGTTTGGACAACTATATAAGATGAATTTGTATAGGCTTTTTGGCGGTTGACTTGTTTCCATTGCAAGCTTTTAACTACCAAGTAGAAAATGAAGGCGATTAGTATTTTTTTTAATTCATTTTAAAAGCTATTAACTTCCTTTTATTTGCCAGAAAACTACCAAGTAGAAAATGAAGGCGATTAGTATTTTTTTTTTAATTTATATATTTTAAAAGCTATTAACTTCCTTTCATTTGCCAGAAAACCTTCCTTAAGAATCAGTGACGCTGTATGCTTTACTGGTAGTTTGGACAACTATATAAGATGAATTTGTATAGGCTTTTTGGCGGTTGACTTGTTTCCATTGCAAGCTTTTAACTACCAAGTAGAAAATGAAGGCGATTAGTATTTTTTTTAATTCATTTTAAAAGCTATTAACTTCCTTTTATTTGCCAGAAAACTTTCCTTAAGAATCAGTGACGCTGTATGCTTTACTGGTAGTTTTGACGACTATATAAGATGAATTTGTATAGGCTTTTTGGTGGCTAGTTTGTTTCCCTTTCAAGCTATTAACTACCAGTAGAAAGTGAAAGCGGAGGGGTTTTTTTTTTTGGTGCTATTCATTTTATAAGCTTGAACATTTCTACAACCATTGATGATTTCAACATTTATATCAAGACAGTAATAAAGTTTTTTTTTACTAAAATCAAAGTATATTTATATCATATAGAATTTTTTATCAGCCATTGTCATGGACATCTTCATCGCTATCATCATCTTATTAGCCTTATTGTAATTTATTTACTATGCCTTCATTACTTCTTCTTCGTATCATAGTTAAAATATACAATTAATGATGGTCTCACTTCAATGAAATCTTTGTAGTCAGCTACACTTCCAAGTTAATATTTGCATACTTATTATACCGCACCTTTTTGGGTGTTCTGAAATTTCCATCATTTTTTATTTATATATGAGTGCTTCTAGGTTAAACTTTCATTCATATGGCAAATTGGATTTCAGAAAAAAACACTATTTAGAAATTTTATCCTCATTTGTTAGGATTTTGTCTTGTTCGAGTTATTTCATAGGTGCAAAACCCCATGATTAATTTTTCCTCTCAATCATGAGAGAAAATTATGGCTAGTCATTACGCTTCATAATACTTAGCTTATAGTACCATCAACTTGTTTTTAGATAATGATATAGCATTGTACCTTCTAGTGGATGATGTGTGAATGATAATGAACCTAATTAATATCCAATGGTTACACTTAATTTTATCACTCTACAAACTAGTCCAGAGAGTGGACCCCCTTGCTTTAAAGTTTAAAACGACCAATTATTCTTCAAATTTTCTTATTTTGTAATTTTTCTTCGAATTATATATTTTTATGTATTTTTATATTTCTTATTCGTATTTACCTCTGAAGTGTTTTGTCTTGAAACTTGAAGCTTTTTATGATGGTTTTCTCTCCAGCGTAGTTTCTGTTCTCAACATAGCTTTTATCAAATTTTTATGATACATGTCTCAGGTTTAGGTTTTGCTTTGTAATGCGATGGGTCATAATGCTCTCTATTGACATGTATGATCCATCTGTGGGTTTCTTCCCTAACCGTGCACCTTTATTTGGAAAGAGAGGAAAAGGAATTAAAATTCGAAATTCAAAATTCAAAATTAATTTTCATAACCAATTTTTCTAAAACCTCTATTTGAAAATTAGCTAGTATTTCAGAATTCAATTTTAATTTGCTAACTGAAGTTTTCTAAAATCTCTCCATAAAATTAGCTAGTAAATTTAAACGTTATCAATACTCTCTCTTGTCTCCTTCTTTCATATCCTTCTCTTCTTCTCTTTCTCTTTTTCTCTTCTTCTTCTCCTTTTGTCTTTTTTTCATGGCTTACATTACCCGATCTTATTCTTGTGTCCTTGGTTTGGCCTCTTTTGAGATAAGGTTGAAATTAGGAATGAAACCAAACTGGGCTCTATTTAGAAACAAATTCATTACAGCCTAAGAGATTAAATTGAGAAAAGAAAAAAATTACGTCCTTAAAGCAACAGCCGTTCCAGAAAATAACCTACCTTACCTACCTTGAGCTAGCAAAATCAATTCCTTTTCATTGCTTGCAGTACTGAAATATGCAAAACATACCTTCCTCTGATGCCTTTTGCTTTACTAGAGAAAAGCTTTATAAGTGAATTTTATTCCAACCTCACTGCTCTTGTACGCTGTGAGTGTTATCCTCACTAATGCAACCAAGAAACCGCACGACGACACAGGTTATATTGTCAGCACTTCCCCTAAGGGAAGCCTCCTGCAGCAGGTTCTTTGCAGCCTGTTCTGGATCTTCAATGGGTTTGACCATGGCTACAGCGTCCTCATTGGAGACTACATCCCACAGTCCATCACTTGCGAGGATGAGGAACTCTAGAGATCCATCAACCACCTCTTCCTGAATTTCAGGATCTGCAACCACATACTGCTTCAAGAGACGATCACCAAATGCACGGGAAACAGCTAATACGCCACCAACGCGCCATGTGCCAGCCCAGATAACAAAACCTCCAGCGTCCTCAATTCTCTGTCTCTCATCTGTTTGATCAGGCTTGTGATCTCTTGAAACAGCAATGGCATTTCCACTCTGACATATGACAGCTCTAGAATCTCCAACATTAGCTACAAGGAGACGATCGCCAACGAGAATAGCAGTCGAAGCTGTTGATCCAGCATCTCGGCTTTGATTATTTTCAGATCTCAAGAACTCAGAGTCTGTATGGCTGTAGGCATCAGCTGAACATTGAAAAGTAAATTATCAGATTGGTGATCTGTACAATAATCAAAATTAATAACTATTCCTGCAAAAAAAATTGTCAACTGTTCCAGCAGAAAAAACAACATGGTTGTGGGCATCTGCTGTAGTTTACAGTTTTATTTTGTAAACATGTTCTTTTTATTTTTCAAGGAATAACAATCAGTTATATCAATGGAGGATCAAGGTAATGACTAGGGCTGAGATTGCAATATCTATGATTTATATAACTAAATAATGCAAATATTAATGAAGATAAAGCAAATAGTGTCAAAATTATGGGGATAACATAGTTCTCTATTATTGTATAATGTCATAAGAGATAATAGACTTATACTAGATTTATTTTAAAAAATCATAATATCAGTTATATCTCTGTGTGTGTGTGTGTGTTGCAAAAGCCCGTACGGGATTTTATACAGTAAGAAAAGGTAGGACAACACAATGGGTGGGGAAAAATCCAGAAAGTAGGATCTTCCCTCCGGTATACAACCCACCCAAAAAACATGTATTCCCAGAAAGTAGGATCTTCCCTCTGGTATACAACCCATAAAGTAGGATCTTCCAGAAAGTGGGTTAGGAAAACTCCAAAAGATTTTTACATGTATTCCCAAAAAACATATTAAAGAAAGAAACTGTAGCGAAATAAGAAGAAAAGTAAGTAAAAGGAGAGAAATGCGATATAACAAAAGTTAAAGCAATCTTCTGAGAGAGGCTATTCCTCGGTAGGAGTAGCAGAACTACAAAGAGATGATGATTAATAAGTAGATCCTCTCCCAAAGCCAAAAACCGAAGACATTAATGATGAAAGGAGACCGTAAGCCATATCATTGTGAACATCTGACAATAGGAGGATTCAAAGAGTCTCCCCTTAAAAGTATATTAAGCTCTATGAGAGGCACCAAACCAATAGAGACACACAAAAAACCACATTTAGCCAACCAATCGGCTGGTGCATCTCCCTCCCTGTACATATAATTTTATATGACCTGAAGGCCATGAGAAGCTATAAATTGCCAAATATTATTAAGACAAATAATTAAATTCTAAAGAGGCTCTTGTTTTCTAGTGATGAAATCTAGAAGAATAGAAGAATCCGATTCGTTAAAAATTGTAGGCCAATTAAAAGTAACAACATTTAACTCAAGAGAAAAGAAAATTAAAGATTTAACTCAAGTAAAATGTATTAAAAATGGAAATCAATAGGGCTTATTTAGTAAAAGATATTCTACATAATTGAGTGAGTTATTTTAATAAACTTTTCAATGAAGTTTCTGAAAATACGATTTACATTAGTGATCTTAAAATCGTTAATAATAATACAATATTTCATTTTTTTTGTCACATTAGTAAAGAAGAAGTTGAGACTTTAAAGAAAACAAGGGGTGGAAAGTCTGTAAGACCTGATGATATCCCAATTAAAGTGTGGAAATATTTAGGAGATTTTTAGGAGATTTGGAAATATTTAGGAGATTTGGGAGTTTTTTTGGCTTACTAAACTCTTTAATATTATTTTAAAAATTAAAAAGATGCTTGAGGAGTGGAGGAAGAGTATTGTGTTCCCCATTTTTAATAATAAAGGGGATGCACAAAAGTGTGCAAATTGTAGAGGAATTAAGTTGATGTATCATGCTTTTAAATTACGGGAGTGTAATTGAACATAGGTTAAGAAGTATTTCAAAGAGTTTTCATAATCAGTTTGGATTTATGCCGGGCAGGTCTACTATGGAAGCTATACATTTATTGAGAAGTTTGATGGAGAAGTACCGGGAGGATATAGAGGTTTTACAGATGATTTTTATTGATCTAGAAAAAGCTTACGATAAAGTTCCAAGAGACATCCGTTTGAGAGTTCAAGAGAAAAAAGATATTAATATGACTTATATTTAGGTCATTAAAGATATGTATACTAGAGCTGTTACTTGTGTTTGAACAGGAGGATTAACTAAATATTTTCTTTTTTAAGTTGGATTACATCAAGGATCGGCTTTAAACTTTTATTTTTTTTGCTTTAGTTATGGATGTTCTTACTGGATATTTACAGGAGGCTTTTTCACTGATGATATCTATTTTGTGGATAAGACTGGAGAAAAAACTCAGAAAAACTTGAATTATGGAGGTGTCTAAAGGTATTCTTTTGAGTAGAATTGAAACTGAATACACAGAATGTAATTTTAGTAGTAGTAGCTCTAGTGACAAAATTGTAATTATGGGTGATCAAATTATTAAAAGGTGTGAAATATTTTAGATATCTCGAGTCTTTTGTTCAAAGTGATTGTGATACAGATGGGAATGTTATTAGTATAATTCAAGTTGGTTGATTGAAGTGAAGGAATGCTTCAGGCTTAGAAAAATACCGCTCAGACTGAAATGAAAATTTTATAAGATGGTGAGACTTGTAATGCTTTATGGCGCTGAATGTCGGCCTTGAAAAGAGCAGCATGAAACTAAGATAAGTGTTGCTGAGATGAGAATGCTTCTGTAATGAGTGGCTTTACACTTAGAGACAAAATGCGAAATGAATATATCCGTGATATGGTTGGTGTAGCTCCAGCGGTGAACAAAATTAGAGAGTCATCTTAGATGATTCGGTCACATTAAACATCGATCATCTGATGATCTGGTCATGCGAGTAGATGTTTTAGATTCAAGTTATGTTAAGAAAGACAGAGGTAGAACTGGAAAGACTGAGGCATATTGTATAAAAAATGATCATAATTTATTAGAACTAAATGAAAATATGACACTCAATCGGATACAATGGAGAAAAAAGATTCATGTAGCCGGCCCCACTTAGAGGGATTAAGGCTTGTTGTTGCTGTTGTAATAAAGTGGGAGAAAATGTTAAAACTGCATGAAATAATAGCAGGTCAATTTTTAATATTTTGATTTTATGTTTTTATATCTATATTCGGTGGAAAATTGATTGAGCTGTAAATTTCTTACATATGCATCTAGAACTGTATGCTCACCTTGAAAAGATGTCCTCAGCAATGATTTGGTGTTTAGCATTAAATAGCATGTGGCAGCGAAGTGTTCATATTGCAGTTTACATGTAACTGAACCAAAACATGAATGCTATGTAGGGTTTGACCATATGCTCAATCTGTTCTAACCAATGATTTGAATAACTGTGCTGAAGCCTGTGAGGGTGGTTGTTGATGAATTTCGTTTCATACGAGCTAGTTCATATTCTTACATGTTTCTATGGCAGTATAAGATATTGTGGTCTGCTTTAGCTTTGGTAATCACATTTTTTTGGGTAGTTTTATCACTCGCTTTGACTGGTTTCTCATTATTATCATTATGAATCATCTCAAGTGATATTGATGGATTTTCGCATTGAATGAACTTCACGGTGCGATTGTGAACATATACTTCCTGTTTTCTTATTTCCATGATCTATCTACATGAGGTATTATTTATTTCCAACGAATTTTTTAATTGTTTTAGAATTTTGAATAATGGATTTGTGCACTTGAATTTGGCATTACTGAAACGATTTGGTCAGTGTCTTGTTGCTTTTGTACAATTGATACAACATTATAGTCTGAAGTGCTTCAAGCCAAGCTGTTTCGGTGTTATGCCTGTAATTTGCCATCTGATTTTATGAACACAGCTCTTATTTAAGTTCCTGAACTTCACTTCTACATACTTTTGCCTATGAATTGAAAAATTTTGATCTTTTTTAATGCTTTAAAATCTAATATATTGCCTCTTTTCAGATGGTAATGGCTTTAAGACAAGTACTATGAGATTAGGTGCGGATGCAATTGTATTCACTCGCGCTAATCATGGCTGGTATATTGTTTTCTTAGTTTGTTCCCGTGTCTTATCATCATCTTTCTTCAGCTCAAGTTTGATTTATTTTTCATGATACTTCAAAATTACTAATGTTGTAACACACACACATATGGAAATTTTGCTTTATTGCCTCATAATTGTCTTATTTGGATTAATGCATGCTATATTTTCTATTTGGAGACTTATGCTTGAAAATTCAATTTGGAATGAATTATCATTGTTATTGAAAAATATGCTCTCTAACTCTTACCCTTGTGATGTGGAGATGTGGATGTCGAATTAGAAAGCTACCTGTATTTCAGGTCAAACTTCCCTCTTACATATATATATATATATAGATATATATATATATATACATATATATATAT